GCGCTTGAGAGGGAGTTGGTAACAGGGATGTGTGCAGACATGAAGCTTCAGTAGGTAGATGTAGAAAGGTAGCCGGTCCCTGGATGGCCCAACCGAGGTTAGTGTTGACAGCAACAGGGCTGCCTAGTGGACCAACTTTGACAGGTGACAGAGGGGTGATGAGCTGGACATTATCTGAGCCTATAAGAAGCATAGGCTGCACATCCTTAAATGCTTTGATGGGAACGTCGGCCAGATGTGGATATCTCTGACGGAGTATGTCCACTGGACTGGATTGTTTTGCCAGATTAAGTTCTTTAGCAGTAAAAACACGTCTGATGTGATGTTTGATTTGGGGAGAGCTGGGTGCGCTTAGTTCAAAAGAAACGCATGCGCCTTGTAACTGTGACACCTCCTGCCTGATGGTTCATAGTTTGAGGGACTCCTCTGTGATATTTAATTGCAGGTAATGAACCGCTGCAGATAAAACAATAGTCCACTCTCATCCGTCGTCAAGAATGGCGTAGGTGGACAGAGATCGCCCATTATTGTGGAGGGTAACTGGGACCACTTTAAGCATGACTCTGCCTGAGTGAGTGACTTGGGCCAAATGCACCATGCTGGAGGCTGTACTCAATGTCAGGATACTCTTGTTTGAGCTGGAGAATTATTAAGAATTATGGACTTTAAAGTCTTATTCAGACACTTCACCAACCCGTCAGTCTCTCTGGATGCCGACTCAGGAGATAACCTGAAACACCTTTCGATAGTGAATTGGCCCAATTTTCAATTTTCATCATTTAGCCAAAGCCTAATTTCACAGTGTTGTCAGAAGACTGCTCAAGGGGAAAATCTTCCATGAAGTAAACCATCGGAACTGGGGATGCCCCTGAGAGACTTCCAATTTCCTCCTGCCTGGAGAGTGTTGGAGGAATTTGCATCACCGCTGAACACAGCACAGACATATGTGCCTACCAGTTGTGTGCACATCCCTAAACAATGCCTCATCGGTTTATTAAACTGGAACCATTCCGTTCCCAGAATTAACCGATGTTCCAGAAGGGAGCTAACTGCAGCCTTGACTCTTTTCCCTTGGATTTGGTGGACTAAGATCTATGTGGAACCCTTCTGCCAACATATCCACCACTTCCAGGTTCGCTGACCAACAGAGACCCACTCTACCAGATCTGTTTGTCCCGGGAGCCCCACAAACTGTTCCAACATGGCTAAATCCAGCAGCTGTGTTCCCGTCTCAATCGGGCCAGGCTGCAACCACCTGGCTCCTGCATCTCAGAGCTGTTGCATGTAGGTGAAGGGTCAATCCTTAAACTATATCCCTCTTCCCTGGAGTTGCCCTGCAGACATTTGTGAATTTGCCCCACAATACCTGCCACTGTCTGGGCCTCCCTCAAAAAAAGGGACAGCATCCGCAACATCCATTCTGCCACTAGACACTGGCACACCTCAACTGTGGCCATGAACATCTCCAGAAAGGACTGCTATTTACAGAACACTGTTATAAAATATATCATTGTCTTTGTATTTCCTGAACCTTATTAGTGAATGCCATTGAGATGTTTTGTCCTTTAATAAGAATTAATCACAAACATTTTTTAGATTTTAGATTTTTACATTACAGTGTTCCCTCATTTATCGTGGGAGCTATGTTCTAAAAATAACCCATGATAGGTGAAATCCACAAAATAGCCAGCTTTATTATTTACAGTTATTATAGATGTTTTCAGGCTGTAAAGCCCCTCACTACACACTTTATACACTTTTCTCAGACAAGCATGAACATTTTTACACTTTTCTCTCTTGTTTAAACGCTCTGAAAGTTCAAACCTTTGTAGAAAAATAAGTCCAGTATTATAGAATGAAACCAAAGATCAAACCCTGTTTTCAGGTCCACAACATGGGAATAGAGTAGCTGCGAGAGAATTCAACATTAATGAATCAATGGTACGGAAGTAGAGGAACCAAGAAGAATGAGTTGAGTGAAGTTTGACTCATCTGACTGTTTTGTGTCGCTTAATGCGCCTTATGGTCCGAAAATTACGGTAACTTCTACCTTCCTTTAGCATGTCCAGAAGTCCAACTTTTTGTGCGATGATTAGCATCTTCTTCTGCCTTTTGGATGCTACCGCCGGTGCTTTTGACAGTGCAAAACATTTCGTCCACATTGTTTTCATTCAGAAACGTTTTTCAGCGCAGACCTGTGTTCATGAAAACTCGGACATATCAGTCTTCTTTTATCTTATGGTAACTGTGAGAGCATATGGACTCTCCTCCTTTCAACAAATTGAAGGCTTCAGTAGTACCAACAAAACTGAATATAAACTCAAATCTATGGAATTCACATAGTAATATAGATTGCATTTTTTGGGGTCTTTTGGGGTCCGTCTAATGTCCCAAGTTTGCTTCATTTTTTATACACATTGCCAGAGAGCAATGTGTGTAACTAAACAGCTGATTAGTTACACACCCATGCACATTTATTCTTAATTTCACTTGAAAGAAGTTTTACTTTAATATTTCTATTTTTGCTGTTGAGTTGCATTCATCATCTTGTCAGTGCAGTAAACATTCTGCCTGAGAGGTCAATAAATCTACTGGTTGTTACCTTATATAGCACTTTTGTACTCTACCTGAGCACCAGTGGTGCTTTATATAAAATGCTCCATTCACACCATCATCCATTATCTATGCGCTTTCTATCTCAACATTCACACGCCGATGGATGCATCGGAGATAGCATACTTGGTGTTAGTATGCTGCTAAAGGATATTTAGGCATAGAAAGTATTTGGTTCATGCAATGTTTGTGTTATCTTTACTGTGTTGTTGAAATTTTAGGCTACCTCATTGTTTAGGTTTACCAGTTGCTGGGTAAAAGATGTTGCATATTGCTCACAGTCTTATCCTCACTTATGTTCATAAACATGTTGTTTGTTCCAGAATGCTTAATGTTTAATATTTACTGCCTCTGTGTATTTTCCTTTTTGTAATTTACACTGTTAAAAAAAAATCTTTAAAAAATGGTAATATTCCAGCAGCTGGGGTTCCAAAATACTACCGTAAAATAACAGAAAATAACTTCCTCATAAAAATACGGTTATTTCCAGTAATGACAATACAGTTTGTTGCGCTAATTTCACATGGGATCTTGCCTTTTCAAGTGGTTTTAAACATTAAATTAGGAACATGTTAATGTGATTAAACA